TATTAGTTCCAGTAGCAGTCTTCGAAGTACACCTGCAGGTCACTCCATCAAGTCCGGAGGTAAGGTCTCAACATAACTAACAAAACGAGCCCAAACTCGGCACACCTAGCTCCACTCGTCTATTAGTTCCAGTAGCAGTCTTCGAAGTACACCTGCAGGTCACTCCATCAAGTCCGGAGGTAAGGTCTCAACATAACTAACAAAACGAGCCCAAACTCGGCACACCTAGCTCCACTCGTCTATTAGTTCCAGTAGCAGTCTTCGAAGTACACCTGCAGGTCACTCCATCAAGTCCGGAGGTAAGGTCTCAACATAACTAACAAAACGAGCCCAAACTCGGCACACCTAGCTCCACTCGTCTATTAGTTCCAGTAGCAGTCTTCGAAGTACACCTGCAGGTCACTCCATCAAGTCCGGAGGTAAGGTCTCAACATAACTAACAAAACGAGCCCAAACTCGGCACACCTAGCTCCACTCGTCTATTAGTTCCAGTAGCAGTCTTCGAAGTACACCTGCAGGTCACTCCATCAAGTCCGGAGGTAAGGTCTCAACATAACTAACAAAACGAGCCCAAACTCGGCACACCTAGCTCCACTCGTCTATTAGTTCCAGTAGCAGTCTTCGAAGTACACCTGCAGGTCACTCCATCAAGTCCGGAGGTAAGGTCTCAACATAACTAACAAAACGAGCCCAAACTCGGCACACCTAGCTCCACTCGTCTATTAGTTCCAGTAGCAGTCTTCGAAGTACACCTGCAGGTCACTCCATCAAGTCCGGAGGTAAGGTCTCAACATAACTAACAAAACGAGCCCAAACTCGGCACACCTAGCTCCACTCGTCTATTAGTTCCAGTAGCAGTCTTCGAAGTACACCTGCAGGTCACTCCATCAAGTCCGGAGGTAAGGTCTCAACATAACTAACAAAACGAGCCCAAACTCGGCACACCTAGCTCCACTCGTCTATTAGTTCCAGTAGCAGTCTTCGAAGTACACCTGCAGGTCACTCCATCAAGTCCGGAGGTAAGGTCTCAACATAACTAACAAAACGAGCCCAAACTCGGCACACCTAGCTCCACTCGTCTATTAGTTCCAGTAGCAGTCTTCGAAGTACACCTGCAGGTCACTCCATCAAGTCCAAAACTAAATATGAAATCTATATTCCTATAAGTATATGAAACTGTGTATAAAATCTTACCTTGGTTGTCTGTAGTCGGTGCAGAATGCGTGAAGTATCAAGTTTGGTAGGGCAAATATTTTGTGTTCGTACAGCGATATTTTCGTAAACGAGGAGCTGCTTACAAGCGACACAGTGTCCACTCACGACGGCGCCCGAGCGCAAACTAAAATTTCATTACAAATTTTTGTGCAATAAATCAAGTCTAGTGACCAGGAAAATAACCCTTATTTCAATCCAATAAGTATCTTTCGTTACGGCTAATAATGTGTAAAAATAAGATTCGATTTTACTTTTGTTTTCAGCCTATTTGTAACATTTTGATAGATTTTTTTTCTACCTTTTTGAGTTGGACATATCTGCTTACGTAAAATATTTTTAAATAATTATATTTGTGTTATTAAATAAAAGAAAAATGATCCTCAAGTCAGCACGATTTCGTCAATTTTGTGTGAAGAGGCAACAGAAATTATTTTTTACAATATTATAAACCAAAATTATCAAATAAAAAACTACTACCATTTGAAGATTAAGAAGTAATCTATCTGTGGTCATTTTTAGTTACATTTGATTCTATATTATTTTGCCGCAAAAACCACCGAAAAACTGCTTATTTTTGTTAGATTCGTAAACGCGTCCTTAAGCCTTAAAAGATTTTTTTTTTAATTTTTAAAAAAAGTTGCCCCACACTTGGATTTACTCTTGTGTAGTGGGTCCTTTTACGAACATACAAGTTCACATACACATGACACCAAGACCCGGAACAACAATCTGTGAATCACACAAAGAATAGTAGGTATCGTGCGGGAATCGAACATTACGTGGCAGCCAATTGCCTAGCCATTGCGTCAACCATGCAGTCAACTCGAAATACAAAGTAAAGGAATATTTTAGAGTTAAAATTTTACCTATGACTACAATTAAAAATGTTCCAAATATAAGGGAATAGGAAATTGTCATTGTATAACGATTCCAAAAATATCACATACAACTTACTCGATTAGAAGAACCGAGTTAATGAAATCTTGACAAAGAAATCAACAACAAAAAAGTCAGCCGGTTATGATTTTTTACATTTTCATTACAACCTACCAAAATATGTCCAAAAATATTACAACTTCAAAAAGCTCAGGGCAATCTTGTTATCGTAGCGACGAATTTCAAACACTGCCTGAGGGTTTTATCCAAAATTTGTTTACGCACCCACCAACTTACCTATTATATTACTTGATATTTTTTCTTTCAATGCGTACCCTTGGTCGTTAATGAAGTTTTCATTTTGTTCATTACGTATGAATCAGACGTTATATCATGATAATGGTTTGGTATTAAAATATTAACCTAACAATTTTTAATAACGAAGAGCTTACGTTTAGCATGAGTGCACGTTCTCAACTTAATTATTTTAGTATAAAAGTCAACATTTCTATTTAGTATGAAGTAGTAGTAACTTTTGACAAGTTACGCAATTCATTAAATACAAACCTAAATAATCCGGTAACATCTCATTGTCATCTTCTCCAACACTCTATGTCAACTTGACATCATATTTCAACTTCACATCATATTTCAACATGGCATCATATTTCAACTAGACATCATATTTCAACTTGACACTAAGAAATAATTTTCACCTGTAAATACTAGCTCCAATCTACTAGCATTTACTTGGTACTTACCAAGCAAAGCCTGTTTCGCCACCGCTCTGCTCAATAGAACACCAAATCATCTCTTTACCTGTAAAACCGTAGCATCTACGATCATAAGAAACGTACCTGGGATGTGTATTCTTCCGATAAGGCCTAGCGTTCCTGTAGACATGTCCGCCCTGTGAGACCAGAGTGCCGCGGGACGACGCCGCGCTCACCGCCGTGTGCAGCGACACGGGGGAACCGGACGACCCCGACAGACGACGCAAGTAACGCTCCTCTTGTTCCTCGTTTGTTGGGGTCTTGTCGCCTACGTAAGAGGGGGGGGGGGGGGGGGGGGGGGGGGGGGGGGTTACATTTATAATCGTAATGATGTTTATGGGTAACTAACAGTTTTAAAATCGTGTTTGGTCAATATTGAATATTAGTGACGTAAACAGTTTAAATTTGAACTTCATAATAATATTAGACCAGTCTCTCTCCAGGTCAAGCCAAATATAATTAACAGGATTGATGTCTCAAATTATTTACAAGTTTTTATTTCTATCTTTTTCATAGACACTTTACCTGATGAGCCTCTCTCTCTCGCCCTCTGTGCTTTGTAGATTCATCAAATCTCTTAAATTGTAGCCTATCTCCATTGACGGACAGACTGACAGAATATTCTATATTTGTTGACGTTACAAAAGTACCTGTCAGTGCTTTGATTCAAATAAACTGATCTGATATAATATGTAGATATTCTAGTACAGGTGAACTCACCATCTAGACTGCCAATAGGTGTCCGCCTAGTTAAGTCTGGACTGCTGCCCCAGGGACTGAGAGCGCCGAGAGGACTCGACAGTCCGGCCGTCACCAACGTATCGTCCTCGTCTTCTGATTCTGAACAACATTATAATAATAACAGATATAAGTCTACACAATTCATTCAGTTTAAAATATTTATTTCAAATCTTTCTTCTTAAGCGTTGCCACAATCTAAGAGTTTCGCCTGTGTCGTGGGTACGACGTTTACAAACATACAAGTTCACATACACATGACACCCAGACCCGAACCAACAATTAGTGGATTACACAAAGAGTTGTCCCGTGCGGGAATCGAACCCGCGTCACTTTGCGCGGCTGCCGGTTGCCCAGCCACCGCACCAACCCATGGAGTCAATAAGTAAATAACTATTTAACTGCTAGTCAGACAAATTACATTTACACGGTAGGTTCGACGAATAGTAGGCTGAGCTGGTGGTTTCACGGTCGATGCTCGGGTTGGGAAAAATAACATTAAGTATTTCAAATTTTTTAGTAATCGGTCACGGACGGTAAACACGGTCAGCGGTCTCAGTCGAAACGAGACGGCGTTCTGTGCTCTGAGGCCTTAGTACGAGTTTCATTTACGTTTAAAGTATTCGTAACGAGTACGCATTCGGCACTCTGATTGGCCGGCGCCAATGAACCAACCAATCAGAGCACCGAACGCGTACTCGTTACGATTACTTTAAACGTAAAACAAACTCATACTAAGGCCTCTG